AGACCTTTTCAATCTGAATCCACTTCGCTCCAAACGCTCGAGCACGACCGCGAGTGTTCGAAGATGCTCTGTATCCGAGCGTCCAGAGATAAGAATATCATCCAGATAAGCACACGCAAAAGGAATGTCCTTCACTAGGTCGTCAATAATTCTCTGAAATATTCCGGGGGCGGAATTAATGCCAAAAGGTAAACGAGTATATTGAAATAGTCCCATGTGCGTGGTGATGGTAGTAAGTTTCCTCGAAGGTTCATCTAGCTCTATCTGCGAGTATGCATGACTCAGATCGAGTTTGGTAAACTTTTCACCACCAGCTAGTGTTGCATACAAGTCATCAATACGTGGCAAGGGGTACCTGACCAGCATGGATGCTTGATTTATGGTTATATTGTAGTCACCACAAATCCGTACGGAGCCGTCCGGTTTGGTTACTGGCACAATTGGAGTTCCCCAGTCAGAAAAGTGTACAGGAGTAATAATACCTTGAGTCTGTAGGCGGTTTAGTTCCTCTTCAACTTTAGGCCTCATAGCGTATGGTAGTGTGCGCGCCTTAATGAATTTTGGTCGAGCGCCTTCCTTTAGTTTTATCGCAGCCTGAAATTCTTTCAACTTCCCAAGCTCCTCGGAAAAAAGAGCTGAATGTTGTTTAAGTAATGTTTCAAGTCCGGAGATCTCGGTGACTAATTTTACCACATTCATTGTATCCGGGAAAGCACGTATCCAGTCTCTTCCAAGCAGATTTGGACGATCCCCGGGGATTACATATACAGGAAGTGTGCGTATTTTGTCGCCATACTGTGCCTTCACGAAGCATTTACCAAGGACACGTATAGGTTCACCGGTGTATGTGCGAAGAACAGAATTGCAAGCGGATAAGTTCGGGAGCGTTTTTACAGGGTTTTCCCGGATTATCGTCACGGATGCTCCTGTATCGATTTCCATCTGTACCTTTTGTCCTTCAATGTAACGCTCTAGAGTGTATGGCGCCGGCTGCATGCTAGAAACGGAATTAAGCCAAACGGAATGTAATTCCGGGTCGCTACCATCAGACTCGTCCACAGTTTTGATGGGGTTTGCTCCTCGATAAGCCCCATCTGAACGTCGCTTGACCGATCTACACACTCGCGCCAGGTGGCCCACCTTCCCGCAGCTTCGACATACTGTCTTCTGATGCCGGCAGTCGGATGGACAACTGTGCTGCTCACCACAACGATAGCACACAAACAAATTGACGCCAGTGGGTGGCTTTGGTTTTGGTGTAGTGTTAATCAATCGTAGCTCATCTGCCGAGTCCTTCAGCGTAAATGTTGCGAGTTGTTGTGTAAGGTGTTCCCTCTGCCGGGCAATCGAGCAGGCCGTCTCCCAGGTCAGTGAACAATCATCTTGTGAAAGGAGCTTCTCCCGCGTGCTCTGGTCTGAGATTCCGGCTATCAAACATTGGAGTAACATGGTCTCTTCAAATCTCGTTGGATCGACTTCATTGTATTTACAATCAGGTGCTGCTTGTAGTACACGAGCGATGAACTCGTTCACACTCTCATCTGGTTTCTGGCAGAGTTTCGAGAAGTAGTATCTAGCCGTAAAAACATTCTGACGAGCACCCCAAAGAGCACTGAAGGTTTCCAAAGCGCCGGTTATCGTAGAAGAGATTTGATCAATACGAAGTGCATCGAAATACCTTTGACCCTCATCTCCAAGAAACTGTCTCAAGAGCTTCACTTTGTTTTTCTCAGTTAGAGATACTGCTGGATTCAAGATTGGAAGCAATTCCCAGTAATCCGTAAAGGTTTTCCGCCATCTATGCCACGAGTCCAGGGAAGGTTTGTCGGTAGAGCACGACCAGAAGACCGGTGGAGTATTTGTCATGGACATGTTGACCTCGTCGCCAGATATCAAGGCTGGACTCTAACCGCAAGTACGTATTTCAACTCGTAGCGAATAAGCAAGAAGACGCTTCAGTCTGGCGCACAGTGTACTGAACACTTAACGGTTTACATGTAAGCACGGAACGTTAGAGTGTGTCCTTGAGTGCGTGTGTGCGTGCTTATCTACGTGTGTGTGTAGGGCCAATCAGGTTCACGGTCATAGTGAGCGATCATTGGTTGAATACGTAACACTGTCGTGGTCTCATCATTTGCCTTGCGCTTCGCACCTTCCAGTTGCAGTGTTGTTGTAAGGCCATCAGCCACTTTATGCCCTCTTGATGGCGATGAACCGGAGGTACTTGACCACTTCACCTACCTTGGCAGCTGCATCGGCAACGATTGGCTCATAACGACTGAAGTCAGTTCACGCATTACAAAAGCCTGAACTGCTTGCTTGTATCTGCGTCATTTGTCGCGTCCGAAATGGGCCTGAAAGTCCGTGTTTACAAGGCCACGGTAAGGTTCTTCTTACTCTGTGGAAGTGAAACTTAGCCCCTTCGATCTGAGGACTTAGACTCCTTCAAGTCTATGATCATCGCTGCTGCGGGGCATTGCTGGTGTTAGGTCTCACAAGCATGTCTGCAACGATGATGTGCATAGGCAAGTGCTAGGCAGTGATAATCATGCACGTTCCTTAGAACAACAGATAGCAATGAATAAGTTACCTTGACTTGGGCACGTACTACGTATGCGTGGTCACCGCTTACCGAGGGGAGGTCTTGTTTATTTTTCTAGCCATACTTTGGCGCACGGCCCGAGATGGGCAAGAGTTGACTTGGCAGCGGGAAATGAAGTCACTGACGACCAAATTCGGTGCCGTCAGTCCGTCTCGCCTTCCAGGTTAGAGTCCAAGTGACCAGCCATGTATTTGGCTTGAGACGTTACAGGACATGGCTCGCAGTCGGCATCCGTGGCGCGTCTGCTGCCTTCTCCTAATCGGATTGGCTGTTTGGAGTGTGTTTGGTGCTGAGTTATCTGCGGGGTAATGGCTGATTATGACGCGGGGCAGTGAAAGCCACAAGGAAGCTGTCTCCTTGCTGTCGCATTTGCACGATAGCCAGATGTGTGTTGCAGCACGTTGATGAGTAGGTGTAGGCGGATTTTGACCCTGAGTGCATGTTTAGGGTGTTGTGATTTTATGCTTGGTTTTCCTTTTCTCCCTATTATTGTTCTTCGTTCCGTAAGTCACCGTAGTTGTATGGCAGCGAAGCATCAGTTCAACTGATTGGTATAATGCTGTTGCTCATTTCTTGTATTGTGCATTGGTGCATTCCATCTCCAATCAGGAACCAGTGTCTGTCGGCCGACCAACCGCCTTACTGTACATATCTTGTCACTTGCATTCTAATCGGCTCGAGGCGTGACAATTTTTCGTATTTCACACGCTTGGACGCTGCCCCAGCGCTACTAGTTGTCGACCCCTGAACGCCAGCAATTAAGGTTTGTTTATGTATGTATATTAATGCGTTGTAAACAGCACGGTAGATTTTGGATCCAACCTTTGTTTTGATCAGTTTGGGACCGTTTCTTGCGTGTAGCTCGCCGACAGCGTTTGGTCGTTGCATCTTTCTTGTGGCACTCCATGATGGAGGCATCGACGTCTTGCTCGGGAGGTAGCTGGGGACTAGACTTTGCTAACAAATCATCCTACAGCCACATTGCAATGTACTCATCCATGGATAGACGATGTTTGGTGCTTTCATGCATTGACATACGCTTGGCACCTTCAAAGTGCGAAGAACTATTAAACGTCTATTATTATTTAATCACCGTTTGTGGTACAGATATTGTGCCATCGGAATGATGACGGAATATGAAAACGGGATCGGAATGACAAAGGAAAACAACGGGCAACTTTTCAGTCCAGTTTTCCACTCGCTATTTTAAGTTTTTTTGTTAGTTTGTTTTATTAATTGTGGGAAAGGCACTCACTGCAACACGCAGAAATACACGTCGGTCTTGAGCCAGTGTCTCCAACTGTCGACAATCTGTATCTTTGGGACCCCAGCCCGGGACTCGTGAATAACCGTCTGAGGCCAACTGCTTCTTCGGCTTTTTCATACCACTTCTCCAAGTCGTAGGCTTTCTACCGCACCAACTCCTCCAGCTCTACCCAGCAACCGCGAACAATGTACATCGCGGATGGCGCTGAGCGGGCATGCGCAACATGTGACCAAGCCAACGCAATTGGCGCAGCGAGACGATCCCTCGTACGACTGGCTGTCTCCCTTCAATACTCGCTGTCTAACTTCCGTATTGCTTACACGGTGCAGCCACGGCACACGCAGTGTACCGCAAGCAACGGTACTCGAAGATGGACAGTTGGCGCAGGTCAACGGTTCGAACAGGCTACGTCTCGCAACCGTACAACAGTACATTGCGGACAGTAGCACAATAAACTCGCCCTTTCATGAAGAGACGGAGGTCACGGCAGTGCCACAAGTCCTTCAGTCTAGAGAAGGCGATACGAGCTCTTGAGATACGCATCGAAATCTCAGCTCCACCAGCAGTGACCCAATTTCCTAGGAGGACGAAACTCCACAACGTCCAGTGTCTCACCATGGAGAGGGTGGGGAGGTAAATGCACCTGCTAGTTTTGAAAAAGTGCTTTGCACTTGGGTGGGAAAAAGTGCACGCTTCAATCGCCAAACGGTTATGTGCAAGTTGGAAGACCTGCTTATCGTCACCCAACAAGACGATAACATCAGCATAATCCAAATCAACTACTCGACTATCCGGATTGCGCGTACACCAGCCATTTGCCAACTGACGCTTGATGCTAATAAACTACAGATAGTTGGTCAGTTCATTTATCTTGGTGGTTACCTGAGTTGAGACCGGTACATGACTACTGGGTTCAGTTCACAATTTTTAAAGTTGGAACCCTTTTCATTAGTCTCCTTAAAGAATGGCATTGGTTGTCCTTCTTCTCCTGGTAGTTTGCTCTACTGATCTGCTTCGTTCAAATCATATTCGTTCAACTGAACCGAAATGTACCTATTAGAATGTTTAAATCTCCTCACCGCCTAACCGTCATACGAAGCTGTTTTTCTATTCTCCTCTTTTCTGTTCTAGGGATGCGGTAAGCGTTTTTCCCTGGATTTCAACCTGCGCACTCATCTCCGCATTCACACTGGTGACCGTCCGTATCCATGTCCACAACCAGGTTGTAGCAAACGTTTCGCTCAATCGACCAATCTGAAATCCCACTTGGCCACGCACAACAAGCTGCGGTCTATGCAATCCTCTATCCTCTGCCGTTGTCCGTCCATATCTTATCACCTACGTCACCCAAGCCAATGTCACGCTGTCTCCACTTGTATGACTCCCACTGGATACCGTATAAGCACTTGCGCCATGTCTGATCGACGAGCACTTGGAGCTGGTGGGCTTTCACATTTACGACCCTTCCAACACTCCTCGGAAGTAGTGTCTGACTCGATGGAAACCGAGTAAGTCGAATTTAATGCGTGCTTTTCCGTCCTTAGCTATCCCAACTGTTTTCTTTCACTTTCGCTTCTCTTTTCGTTCCAGATTCTCCACGGACGGTCTGTATCCTCTCTCTGAGTCATGTTGGCCAGTCTTCTACCCCGATCATCCATCACCAGTGGAGCCAAACTCATCTCCAGACTCTGGCATTTCCTTTCTCTCGTCGCCTCCCAACCCACTAGGCTCGATAGCAATCACCAAATCTATCACTTCGATTTCTTCTCCCACATGGAAACAGTCTGACTTGGGCTGTCACCAGAACTTGGCTGCATTGATGAAGGTAGAGTCGAAACCTTTTTCTGTTCCGGTCGAATCGTCAGGCACGACACTAATCGGTACCAGTGACGTTCCCACGTCAGATGCAGCGGGTCTCGAACTCCCTCTAAGCGTCCCTGAAGTAATGGTTAAACAAGAAGAGTCACCGTTTTGTACCACCGATTTCACGTCCCCCGATACACGTTGCAGTCCCCAGTCTCATACAAATCGGCTCGAACGAACTGGAAGGCGTAAGATCTCATCACTCAACGCTGCGTTTCTGCACAAGTCGAAGACTTTCGTCCCAAAAACACTCCAGCGGTTGCGTCGTCCTCAGCTCAGCTCACAACCGAGTGTTTATGCAACACGGTCGCGTTCACGATCGTCCGTCCGCCCTCCGGTTTCGAAGCGCAAACGCGCGGCGCCTACCAAGTAGCATACCTTTACACACCAGTGTTGGCGTTTCAATGGGGTTTCGCTGCGGTTCTCATTGCCCGACCCGACCTGTTTGCGCCACCCTGTTCTGATGTGCTCGTTCGTACCATGAGTAGAGTTAATATTGCTATTTCTTTTCCTCCAATAACTTTTTTGCGCTGTCCTATTTCATATTGCGTGTTTCTTTTTCTCAAGCAGCACTGTTCTTTCACAAAGCGGTTACCAAATGCCTCAGGAAGTATAGAGGCCCCTTCCCGTTCCCATTGACCCCCACCTTTTTTGTACTTTGGTTTACCTAAGTCGCGTAATCATTCCGTTTTCAGCCGTATTAGGAGTGTTTCTTCTCCAACTGAAATCCTCAATGTGTTGCGCCCTTCGCACCCTCCCGTAAACACATCATGGCGACTACGCACATGTGCATCTAATCACCCATCCTCTATGCTGCATTTGATAACCAATCAGGATTAGCCCCTTCCGTTTCCGCGTCCTGGCTTTTCACGTGTCTGTCTCGCCTGCCCTATCCTTCTTTCGTTCTTTATTCATGTATGCGTGGTTATCTAGTCTATTCTTTGCTATCTTATCAGAGACAAGTACTGACCGTCATTTTTAGTTGTACATTTATCATGTCTTGCACCCGTTGAATCGCTGCGATTCACACACCGTGACCATTCCTCTGAGGTGTTTTTCGGACGACTTCTGCACTCTCCTTGTTAACTGCCTCATCTTTGTCGTCCTTGTCCTCGTTGTGATTACCGTTACTTCCGTTTCTGTTGGTTCCTATTTTTTTGTCAGGACGAGACATTTCTGCTCTCGAATCATGCGGCACCACTTGCTCTGACAAATCGAAGTGCGCGTTTTTTCCTCTACACCTTACCTTAATTGAAGCATGTATTACGCACCTGGACTTGTTCTCATTATCTTTTCTAACTTGTCTAGTGCACATACATACAATTTAACCAGTCTTTCGTTCATTATTCTTTAGTGGGATGTTTTGTGTTTCCTCAATAATTAACGCCAGCGCTGTCTCTGACGCCACAGCACTGGCTTTTGTGTCGTAGCTTCTCTTACGAACGTTGTTGGAAACCAGTGGTCATCATCAACAGCAGTACATCAGCCATTTGAACTGATGCTTCGCTGCCATGCAACCATAACGATCTACGGGACGGAGAATAATAAAAGAGAGAGAGAGTAAGGACTTACTGGATAATCTTAATGCCATTAACAAATATTCAGGTTCATTGTGCGTACACTTTGTCAACAAAATACAAACAGCTGGATACCTTGCAAAGATAAGACGGCATCGGCGAGACAGCCAGCTTGCGGCTTTCACTACCCCGTGTCATAATCAGCCAATACTCCACAGATAACAGCACCAAACAGGTAGTTCGACTTTGGAGCTGGCAGCAGACGTGCCACTTGTGCTAACTGCGAGCCATGTCCTGTAACGTCTCAAGCCAAACACAAGGCTGGTCACATGGGCTCCAACCTGAAAGGCGAGACGGACCAACGGCACCAACTTTACTTACTTTTTCGGATAGGTAGTTGACTTATCTGAATTGTCGGCTGATTGCGACGAGCAAAAATACTCACCAAAATCCTTCTACTCATAAGTTACTTACTTTACTTTGCCGCGGCTAGCTCCTGTGACAGGATGAGCCGGCTTCATGAATGTCGCGAATGGCTGCTGATCAAGCGCGGCGATCGGTGGCAAGGTCCACGTAAATGAATTGCGCAATATCGGCTGTGGTGAATGGCGCTTGCCGGTAGCTAAAGCGAAGAGACGAAAGCGATGACCCAAACTGCCAGAATTTGATGCAGCTTCCATGTTGCCCGCGATATCAGACCAGTAGCGGTTGCGACCATTCCGTGCTGAGAGAGTTGGTTCATATCTCAAACGACGGTAGTCTGCGAAATTCGTGAGATGTGTTTCTCTCGCTTCAGCGGACAGGCGGATAGTATCTTCAGTGATCCAGTCCTTCACAGGCTTAGAGGTAGAGCCCAAGGTAGATAAAGCGGTGCGTTGAACTGAAGATTTTAGCCTAGACCAACGAGCGTCTACAGACTCATCTACAATTACGAGGCGTAGTGCGCTGTCAGAAATTTCTACTTTTATTGATGCTTCAAGGGATTGGCACCAGCCAATTTTTTCTAGTGGGGCAGTTTTGATACGCTTTGGTGGAATTGTCTTTCGGTGCGTTGTCAAGCGGACTCTGCATTTGGCGCGCAGGAGTACGTGATCCGAATCACCTTTATTTCCTGTTTCAGCCCCTCTGTACGCTCGACGGTCATCGATGGAGGACATCCACATGGATTGGATTAAGATGTACTCTATCTGGCTTACTGTACGACCATCGTTGGAGTACCACGTCAGAAGTTTCTTCCTGGGATGCTGAAAGCGAGTATCGGTTACGCACAACCGGTTAAAGTCAGCGAAGCTGAGCAAGCGGTCTCCATTATCACAATGCTCTTCAAGGGTGTATCTCCCGAGTATGTGATGGGTTTGATCGTTCCTAGGACCGGTTCGTGCATTCCAGTCCCTAGCAATAATGAGCATGTCGCGTTTTTGAACACGGTTCACCACTCTCTGTAGACTATCGTGAAATGCGTTATTGTCACTTTCCGCTGAGGGTAGGGTTAGTGCGTAGACAGAGATTCATTAGGTGACTCTTGAAGCGTGCAACTGCTATTCTAGCTGATACTGACTTCCATGAAAGGAGAACGTTACGTGCCTGGCAACTGAGAGCCATGGTGACCCCTTAATTGCCAGAATTATCTTCCGGCCCACCATGGTAAAACCAATATGAGGTGTCTACACCAGGGACTTTGATTTTTGAGATCCATAGCCGGGTATTCGAGATTCTGTTAGGCATGCTATGTCGATCTGGTAGTCATGTAGTGTGCGCATCGTCAACTCTTGGCTGCCGACATCCGACCGGGTTCTGACATTCCAGTGAATAGTGGCTTCCGGGGATTGAGGGACCCAGCTAGCTTACTTGTCACTCTGGCCACTGGGTTAGCGTAAAGTGTGTCGCCTACCAGGAACGCCGTAGCATGTGAAGGATCGCGGGTCGCAAACTTGTCATGAAGTTTCGTGGGGATTATGGGTACGTATGAGAACCTCAACCTCATCCGTCATTTGTTTGACGGTTAACCTCTAGTCTTTGCATAGCCAAGTGCTACCTGCAAAGCAGCAGCGATCTGTGACCATTGTCTTAGCTTCTCGCCGTTGGATCAGCGGTCGATTTCTTCCGCCCAGTTGTCAGGACTGACGTTGCATGCGAGTACCAAGTCACCGGGAGTAGTGTTCCCGGTTACCCTCACCTGATTTAGCCCGCCTGCCTGCGGTTGACCGGGGTATGGCCGCTGCCACGTGCAGGCAGCTTTTTGGAGCCACAAGTGAGACCTGGGTGACAGGTGGAGACCAAAGATAGGCGGACTACCTCGGAGGGTAAGGTAGGTCCCTACCAGAGGTGCTACTCCTACCTGGCATCCTGGACACCCCTACGTCATCAAGTTTGGTTGTCAGTGACTTAATTTCGCGCTGCGAAACTTTTGTCCACGTCGGTCCATGCGCCACAGACAGAACAAGGTCCTGCTAGGCACGCGGTGACTGGGCGTACGTGGTGCGTACCAAAGCTAACCCAGTTTATTTAGTGCTATCTGTTGTTCTAAGGAATTAGCTTTGGGGTCATTGCCAAACACTCGCCTATGCACATCATCATTGCGGACACGCTGGTGACGTCCAGCACAAACAATGCTCCGCAGACAACGATAATCAAAGACTGAAGGTTTCTGGTCTCACTCCCATAGAGTAGGACGGTCCCTTACTGTCACCTTGTAAACATTTACCTTCAGGCCGAAAGAAACTCCTTTCTAAATCTACAGATGTCGCAGGTTCAAGTAGGCAGTACTGGATTTTGCAATACGAGAAATATCCCCAATGTCTTTGAACTCATCGTTGCTGATACAGCTGCCATATTAATAAATAAAATGTTTATTCTCGACAATGCGACGCACGCCTGCTATAGGGATGCTTACTGATAGTGGATTTGAAGCGCATTTTCGGATAAGCAAGGGGGTGACTTTAGTTGGTGGCGAATCACAATCGCCACCTCACAATGTTGTTAAGCATATTTTTGCTTTTTATATGAAGAATTCTTGCTATGCAAAAACCCACCCCGTGCTGGAACACTGCCACCGAACTAATCGCTGAAACGGGGTAAATCCGAACCACCCAGCTGGCACCACTAGAAGGTTGTTCAGCTAGCCAGCCAGTGAATTGATCAACTGCCTCGAATTCCTCGTTATATAGGGTCAAGGGATCATCAAGTGCCTGGTGGTCCTGCAGCAACGTTTTAAAAGTGCGATGCGCATAGCAACTTCTGAGACCACTCTAGAGAGGTTATTCATGGTTGATTACGACGCCCCTACATCGTTGAACAGCAAGACGATATCGTCCGCATTATCTAGCTCAACTAGCGTTTCACCTCGCGGCACCCCAATGCATGCATCGTGATATTCCGCAAACTAACACTCCATGATGGATTCCGCGACGAAATTGGACAACCCTGTCGAACGCCACTTGTTGTCAGGAAGCGATGCGACAGGTCACTATAGACCCTGACTCGGCCTGTGGTATTCGAGTATAGAGCATGTAAAGGGCTTATGTTATCTCCTTAGACATTTTGCCACATGATCATTTCTCAATACAATATCGTCGCTTCTCGGATTCAAACCCCTTAGAGACCTCGTGTACAGTGCTCGTGTCATGTTAGGTCTTCAGAGTCACTTCAGTCCTTGCATTGTCTTGCAATGCGGATCTCCCCATTCATTGAATATTTGTAGAAAAGGGCACATTTTGTCACACAGAGTCCCTGGATGCATCCACGAGTGTGGTACTTATTACGGGTTAGAACTCGATCACTTATTTACAATAGATAAGGTTGTTTTACTCGCAGCGGCCTAGAAACAACCGACTGGAGAGGGAGTGATGAGCTATTGGTTGTATACCGGATAATGACATTCTCACTGCTGCTCTTTTGGTCGATTTTTTGACGCCCCTTGGCTGTTGCGGCACCGCGCATCGTACCGTTCATACTTCATACCTTAGAGCTTTGCAGCTTCGGGTACCTCTCTGACAAACGATGAGTTCTTGTGTCACAGTGTGTAGGTTCTCATCGGCTCCGGAAACTCATCAAATCTACAGGGAAACACGAGAACAGCACTTCATTGTGGTATATGAGGTCTTGCACATGAATGTGCCAAGATTTGGTCGGTACGGAACTACGGTTGTTAGTCATCACCTTTATGCAGATTGTAGCCACCGCGTACCGGTTCGTTTGTCCCTGTTTCCCTTGTTGCGCTTTATTTCCAACAGCAGGATTAAGTTTTATTACATTCGTCCCAGCAGCTCACAAGCTGCTCGGTCGTGCTATATCCCAGTTAGCTTGCAAATTATGTAGCCCAGCCACCGTCCCCCATGGCTCAGTGGCTTAAGCTGTTGGCTAGTTGGCTTCAGACTCTAGCGATCATGAGTTCCATCACCAGTAGGGGACCGTGGGAATGCGTACCACTGGCGAACGCAAATGGGGCGGAATACGTCTAGCGCTTTTCCGAATTCGAATTGTGCTATGTATATTGTGAGTTGACGGGATGAGTAAATTTACATTACAACCAAAATCCTTCTACTCATGAGTAGCATGCCTAACGCAAATGCGCGCTGCGTAAGTCAATAATTTACCGTCACTCGGGGTGCTTTGCGATGTGACGTAGAAGTAACACAAACCTGACTCTCATCTTTCGACTGGATAAGCTTGATTGGTGGCTAGTACATGAACAATTAACTCATTCATTTGGCCTTCCAACGTTAACCATTGTCTTGAATTCGCAGTGTACCTGTTGAGCGAATGGCCATTTATATCGAATCATTTACCAGCTTGGTCCTGGTCTGTTCGAGACACCTAGG